GGCTCCCCCACACCGTCGCCGGCCAGGTGGCCTCTGTCCTCAACAACGGCACGGCCTGGGCGCAGCGCGCCGAAGCTCGGCGCCAGGCTTGCCGTGACCTGGGCCCCCGCTTCTGGGCCTCCACGGCACTGCGGCGGAGTGAGCCCTGCGGCGCGTTGCACGGGTGTTGCATGGGGTGTTGCACGGGGCGTTGCACAGGGCGTTGTGCACAGGGCGTTGCATGGGGTGTTGCACGGGCGTTGCACAGGGTGTTGCATGGGGCGTTGCACACGGCATTGCACAGGATGTTGCATGGGCATCACACATGGTGTTGGATGGGGAATACACGGGGACACTGTGCGGGGACGTTGCATGGGGACATTGCATGGGGACGTTGCACAGGGACATTGCATGAGGATGTTGCATGAGGATGTTGCACAGGGACATTTCACGGGAACATTGCATGGAGGTGTTGCACGGGGACATTGCACGGGGACGTTTCACGGGGACATTGCACAGGGAATGCATGGGGAGTTGCAGGATGTAGCACGGGGACATTGCACAGGGACATTACACAGGGATGTTGCACAGGGACATTGCACGGGGATGTTGCACAGGGACATTGCACGGGGACATTGCACGGGGACATTGCACGGGGACGTTGCACGGGGACGTTGCACAGGGACATTGCACAGGGAATGCCTGGGGATGTTGCATGGGCGTTGCACGGGGACATTGTGCAGGCTGCCACAGCAGCCACTGCACAGACACCACGCGGGGTGGGGAGGGGACCGTCCCCGGTGCTGACTGTCCCCTCCCCGTTCCAGCACCACCCCAAGTCCGCATCGTCCCTGTCCCCCTCCCCAATGCCCCTGACGCCGTCCTCCTCACCTGCCACATCTGGGGCTTCTACCCCCCTGAGGTGACCGTCCTCTGGCTGCACAACGGGGACATGGTGGCCACCGGGGACACCGCCAAGGTCCTGCCCAACGGTGACTGGACCTACCAGACGCAGGTGACCCTGATGGTCACTGCCAAGGCTGGGGACACCTTCACGTGCTCGGTGCACCATGCCAGCCTGGACCTGCCCCTCCAGGAGCACTGGGGTGAGCACGAGTGACGGGGACGTGGCAGCTGGACGCGTGGGTCCCCAGTGGCTCAGCGCGGCTGCTCTGGCCCTGCAGGTCCTGGCTTGTCCCCGGGGTTGACGGTGAAGGTGGCGGTGGCAGCAGGGCTGGTGACCCTGGGGCTGGTGGTCTTCGCTGCTGGCACCTTCAGCTACTGCCGCCAGGCTCCGGGTGAGGGACACATGTGGGGACACACGTGTGTGGCAATTGGGGGACGCTCTGGGGGGCACAGCACCCACCTGAATCAGGGGTGTCCCTAATTCATCTTCTTATGTCTGCCAGGTCCTGGTCCTGGTCCTGGTCCTGGTCCTGGTTCTTGTTCTGGTCCTGGTCCTGGTTCTTGTTCTGGTTCTGGTCCAGGATCTGGTTCCTATTGTGGTCTTGGTCCAGGATCTGGTTCCTGTTCTGGTCTTGGTCCCAGATCTGGTCCCAGTCCTGATCTTGGTCCTGGTCCCTGTCCTGGTCCTGGTTCTTGTCCTGGTGCTGGTCCTGGTCCCTCCATGGCCAGGTGTGACCACGCAGTGACCAAACTCTGAGCTTCCAGCCCCGGGGCAGAGCCCCTCCCATGACCCCCCCCCCTCAGCCGTGGGGCTCGGGGTGCTGGGCCCCCCATGGACCCAGCCTGGGGGTACCCGGTCAGGGGGCGACCCCTCAGCCCCCCTCCAAATAAACCCATTTGCATTCCCCATCCCGGAGTGGCTTTGTCCGTGGTGACCCCTCACGGGTGTGCGGGGGGAGGCTCCCAGTGCCCCCAGTTTGGAGGCAGAAGGGTTACTGGGAGGGGGGAGGGGTTAGCGCTACATGCGGAACGGTTTTGGG